CAGCCAGCTGGCTGGGGAATTCTGGGAGTTGAAGTCCACCCGTCTTCCAGTGGCCAAGGTTGAGAAGCACTGCACGTAAACAGTATTTTGGCCAACATATCTAGAATTCTGGCGGAGAAACGGGTGAATCTTAGGAAGTGTTATCTTTTTTTCCACAAAATGGACTTTGTAGGACAGTGTGCAGCTTGAGTAGAATTAACAAGGTGTGCGTGAAGGAGCCCGTGCAGGGACAAGGGGCATACACCAAACCGAACAGGGTTCTTTGGTTTTGAACCTGAGACAAACCCACTGCTTTCTGGAAGTTCTGCCCAACTATTCGGCAGAAACGAAACCCGGAACATTTTTGTTAGACCACATTTCAGCTGAATCCAAGCCCACGGGGTCCAGGAGTGATTTTCACAGCAGCTTTAAGGTATGATTGCTCCCCTTCTGAGCCCCCCGCTTGGCATAGCCCACTGGCTCATCCCCCCCCCCCCCCTTTTCCCTGCACTTTCCCTCACCACCTCTCCTGCCTCCTTTCTTCAGCTACTGCCGATGTCCTTGGTTCCTGTCTGCCCCCCAACACTTCTCCACATTCGGGTCCTTCTCTGGACCAAACACACACCTCGGTTCCAACCTGAGCCAGCCAAGAGCGAGTGTACCACACATGGGACAGTGTGGGCACGGTGTTGTATGTCTCTAGGAGGGGGGAAGTCACTGGCTGAATTCCTGACTTTGCCAGTTAAAAGGATCTGGAGTGGGCAATGGGACCATGTGAACGAGGGCCTGGCAGGATTAGATAGGGAAATGAGACAGTGGATGCCAAGCAGAGCCCTCATTTCTTAGGTCAGAGAGAGTGCAGGCCTCTTAGGCAGAAGCACCCGGACATACAAGGGAGGTCTTTCCCAGAATTGCTCCTGGCATGGAAGATGGGATCCAGGAAAGTTAAGTCCAACAGTGAGTTAAGGCAGGGTTCCTCAACCTTAGCAACTTTAAGATGGGTGGACTTCAACTCCCAGAATTCCCCAGCCAGCCATGGGGAATTGGCTGGGGAATTCTGGGAGT